CGCACCAAGTGGAGAAAATTAGGTATAACTAAATTTAAGTGTGGCAAAAATGCATTCTTTAAATGCATTTATAATTCATCAAATTTTTTTCCGGAAGGGGCCTTAGCCCATTCTCCAGTTCCATTCCCCACATTTGCTCGAGAGACTTTGGTGGGTGGCCTCAATTTCCTCTCCCCCACCCAACTATTGTCTATAGGGGGGGAGGGGGGGGGGGGGGGGGAGGGGGGGGACGAGTTTTTATAGACAATAAAGTAATGTATATTAATATATTCCTTTTATTTTTCAATTTAAATCTATCTAATTTATTTATGGATGTAGCTGCATAAGTAGATGTGCTATCCTCAGTTGTGCTTTAAGAATAAATTAATGTGCACATCATTTATTGGCGATTTATTTTCTTTACTAGGTTTAATGAAATGCAAAGACCTTATAACTCTTATGATTTCGGCATACAATGTACGATATTGAGATGTCTTTTACGATTGTACTCTGAGACCTATAAAAAATTATTATTTAAGACTGCATTGAAAAATTTATTTTGGTTGTTTTATCGATTTAAGCAATTATTTTATTAAAAAATACAATTTCGTTTGTTAGATTTTAGCTTCTTTCTACATCGGCGGTGAATGGACCGAGAAATGCAATTTTTTGGGGGCAATTCATACTTATAATAAAATGACACTGCTTCATTTTGTGCTGATGATTGTCATAGTGTTGCTTTGTGTTTTCATAATGAACTCCCTAGATACAGCAATAGTAGTAAAGTTATTGTAGTCAAACTAGTGTCAAATTTATCAATATTGGCTTTTGTTGCTTCGGTGTATGTGACTTAATTTGTGACATTACTGTTTTTTCAACTGAACTGTAGCAGTTCCGAAAATGGAGAAAACTACGGAATTCATTTTTTCAGTTGCATTTATAACTGCTCTGCTCAGAAGCTTCAGATTTTGACATATTTTAAAAAGATCTAGTTAGGGGCAATTGAAATCTATTTTTAAAAGTCACTAAGCAGCTTGAAAATTTTAATACACCAGTTTGGTCCTAGCACTTCTCTTCCCTTCTCCCAATTCAGCTTTCTGTGGTTATTTGACTACATTGTTAATGGAAAATAAAATCAAGCTTCTAGACTTAATGCAGGCTTAGCCAACCTGCGGCCCACCACGTTAAATATTGTGGTCCCCGGATGTATTACGAATGAACTTATTTCTTTATTCAATTAGCGATTATTTTCATTCGTATCATAAACAACCCACATCTGAATAATATACAGCGGTACATCACAGCAGTGACAGTAAGCGCCATTTTGGTGTACCTGCCCCCCTTTTAAAACTGATTAAAAAAAATATATTGAAACAGGTCAACTCAAATCTTAAATAAAAATTATTAAAAATTATACCACTTAATAACTAATCAAATTAAATGATTTGTATAAACACAGCTAGGTTTTAGGAAACTAATTTTTCACGAGCATTTCTTCAGTTCTCTGATGAAGTGTAGAATGGTGCAAAATTATACTCGGGTAGATGCCAAAAGGGAGCCCTGCATTTTTAATTTGTAAAAGATTTTCCCTCCCTAAACCTCTTTGGCGGGCGTCCTGGATTTAAGATCCCCAACCCCACCTTTGTATATCAAAGTGGCGATGGCATGAACCTTTTTATTTTGCAATAAAGCATTGTATATAAATATATAAATATCCGTCTTCACCTTTGGGATGTGACCTTTTTTATACGTGCTATACAAATAGTTATTGCATACATTATACTGGATGTTTATTTATTTACAATTAGAAAACGGTATTGTAAGATTTTCAGATGGTAAAGTGCCATTCTAAGCAAAAATAAATTGTACAATTTTGTAAGTTCTAGGTTAATTAGGTATGCATGCAGCCTGTGAAGATTTGACATGGGAAGCCATTTGGGTGGGCTACCCATGTTATTAAGGGTGCTGATAAAAATAAAATATAAGCTGAATTTAGTAGTTGAACAAAAATGAATGAAATAACATAAGCACAACATAATGAATGACCAATATCACTTATTACTCTAACTGCTTCTGGGGTTTCTGAATTATAATTGTCTGGAAACTTGAATTTGATTTACTGATTTTTAATTTCTTAAACAAATTTTCAGCCACGATCTAGGTCAGTTTCTCCACCCATCTCTCCCATTCCTTTTAAGAATGAGAATTGCTGGGTTTTGAAGACTGGAGGTAATCAAGAACAAGTGAGTTGATATTTAACATATAAAGTATTGTAAACCAGTGAAAGGAAATGATGAGTTCTTTTTAGGCTGCCACGTTATTTCAAGTTATTTTTAATAAAGTAACAAACATCATAGATTTAAAATTAGGAAATTTATGTAATCTTTTCACAGAAGTTGTGTTTTCAAATACAAAGCAATATTATTCCATTAGGAATTCTCCTTGCATTTATTTAATAACCTTGCTTTATCTCACAAATGATGGCTCAAGTGTAAAGTGCAATATAAGTTCAATTTTTTAATATGAATAAACCAGATGATGAAAGTATGCACGCTTTGTTTATGAACTGTAAAAAAAAGTCCTACTTAAAATGGAAATAAGTGTCTTGAATATATGAATGTTTACTTCTGGAGCAGGCCCTGTGCTAGAACCATACACACACTTCCACCCCACTCAAATTAATCATCATAAGATTCTTTTATTGATCCAAACAAATGGAAATGTTCTACGCTTGCCTTGTACATTTTCAGCACATAAAATAAAACAATTTGAACACAAAACATTTATATTAATAAATTATTTCACTAGTGAAAAAAAACAACAAAAAACAAAAAACAGCCATTCAGTGAGTTCTCGTAGCCGTATCAGCGACTTATTAGTTCTCATTAAGATTTGTGACTTCAGTGAGAGCACGCTTGTAAATTTGCACAGATTGAGGAACAAAAGAATTTTTATATCTTTTAGTCCTCGCCCTGACAGAAAGAATTCATCCTGAACGGGCCGATTCTATGTATCTGTGATGAATAGGGTGGGATGATCATCCAAAATGGAATTTCCAATAACATCTTTCTTCCAATTGTTGCACTGTAGAATAAGTCAACGATTTGTTTGTTTACGCCGAAATTGTACAGTTTTTTTGAGGTAGAACAGTCTTTGGTTGAATTTCTTATACAGCATTTGGCTGTACTCATGCCATGTTAGCTTATTATTAATGGTCACACCTAAGTACCTATATGCCTCTACTTTCCCTACACTTTGTGATTTTTTATGTTGAGATCTGTAATCTGGTGTTTCCCCCTCCTGAAATCAACAACCATTTCCTTTGTTGTTGAGACATTCACCTGGAGAAAATTTTCATCGCACCAATTGATAAACCTTGTAACTAAGTTGCGGTATAAGCCTTCTCCTTCAGATATTAAACCAATGATGGTGGTATCATCAGCAAATTTTAAGATTGGAATGGTGTCGCTTGAGCTTTGAATATCTTTGGTATATATTGTATATAGCAGTGGTCCCCAAATGGCGGTCCATGGACCTTCACCGGTCCGCATGCCTAGCGCTGCCGGTCCCCATAACATAAATATTTATTGTCAAATAGAAATAAAAGTATAAAAATAAATCATGCACTGGTCCCTTGTAAAATTTCGAAACTTGTTCACCGGTCCGCCAAACTTAAAAGTTTGGGAACCACTGGTATACAATACAGGGGAGAGAACGCATCCTTGTGGCGCACTGGTGCTTATTTCTCTGGTTAGAGATAATGACATATTGTGGTCAATTTGTTTAAAAGTTCAGTATCCAAGCCTGAATATTTAAATTTACACCTAACTAGAAAAGTTTCTTTATCTAAAGGTGTGATTGGATAATGTTAAATGCTGATGAGAAGTCTAAGAATAGCACTCTGGCATATTTTTTAGGACTGTCTAGGTGATGGTTAAGTCTCTCCAACAATAGTAAGATAGCATCCTTCGTATTTCTGGCAGGTTTGTAAGCAAATTGGTGGGGGGAAAGTTTTTGCTGTACTTCATTTAAAATTTTTCTCAGAATTAGTTTCTCAAAACATTTCATTACAATAGAGGTAAGAGATGGTGGTAAGAAGTTTTTAGTTTGATTTCTAATTAATTAAATGTATTTTAAAAGCTATCTTTACATAATTAATTAATACCTTTAATCCGTCTGAAAAATGTATCAGTTTTGTTTAATTGTCTGGTTTGTTCCAATCTACAGGTACTGCAAGCCCAGTGAGCTTGCTCTAACAAGCAAGTGTTGCCATCTTGATTTCATTCCTTCCCCATTGGTGGCATTTTGTATTTATAGGAAAGATTAGAAGTTTATGTACCAAGTAACATACTATTCAATCATTTAATTTTTTTCCAACCTTGTAAGTGATGGAAAATAATACAGAAAAAAATTATGTTTAGTCATGTGACACCATTTTTAATTTTGATGATCATTGAACAGATGTGACCAATGAATGCTTCTTATCTTAAAATTAACACGAGAAAGGAATAAATAAGATGCTATTAAACCTCCACACCCTGAGCAATGGAACTGACCACATATTATATTCGATACATTTTGACAATTAAGAAACTAAATTTTTGCCATGAACCTCTACAATTTTTATTAAACGCTGCTTTGATATTTGTCAGAGTTCTAAAATGTTGTCTTCATTAAATAAAATCCTTCTACTTCATGTTAATTGTATGAATTTAAATTGGAACAGTTGATTAATAAATTAAATAAATAGACAGAAAACCATTATTAATTATTTTTTTGCCAGTTTCAATAAAATTAAGCTAACATTTGGACCTCCACAATGATTTAATTTTTGTTACTAAGAATTTAAAAAAAGATTACTTTTGATCTAATACAACTTTAATAGTACAGGTTAAAAGAATGATGTAATATAGTTTTAAATGGAATAAATTATTAAAATCATAAAAATGGACACTAAAGTAACAAAACTGAAAGTCCAAATCACCAGATAAAGCATATCAATGGATTAATCAAGAATAATAGCGAGGTATTATTAAAGGGATTAAGAGGTTTCCTTTTTTTGTCCTGGTTTTATTTGACTCTTGTAATGCCATCTCCATTTGACTGTTGTTCATCAAAAGGTCACCATTTACATGCATGCCATTAAACACAAAACACAATGTTCTCAAATAAAATTCAAGACAAACATTTGAATGTTCCAAAGGGTTGAACAAATTTATTTGCTATCCAATTAGATACACAATGCAACAATTTTGTTGACTGCATGTAGTCAAGAGGATTATAGTGGTCATAGAGACATGTACACATGCCCCAGACATATGGTGTGAAGACTGCATGTAGTCAAGAGGATTATAGTAGTCATAGATACATGTACACATGGCCCAGACATATGGTGTGAAGACTGCATGTAGTCAAGAGGATTATAGTGGTCATAGAGACATGTACACATGCCCCAGACATATGGTGTGAAGACTGCATGTAGTCAAGAGGATTATAGTGGTCATAGAGACATGTACACATGGCCCAGACATATGGTGTGAAGAAAATTATATTGCAACTCCCCCTCCCCACCATAAAACCTGGAAGGTTAGTGTTTACATTTTTCTGGCTATGTATTAAGGTTAATGACAGTCATACACAAGCATCAATATTAATTAGAATTAATACATGCTTTAAACGAACATTATTAATTTACAATGGCAAACAATTGCTGACATTTTTTAACAGAATGTCAAATCTACAGGGGAAAGATAGAATTATTTCTCAAATTTAAGCAATTACAAAAATAAAAATTCCTATTATTGAAGATTTAAAACTTGAGGCCAATCTTCTGTTTTAAAGTATTTCACAAATTGTTCTACTATGCATTAGTATCAAATAAAGTATTGGAACGTGAACAGTTCATCAAATGAAGCAAACACTAATGAAACCCTGATAGAAAAAAAATAAACACTCATTTTTTTATTTTTGAGTCAGTAACTAAACACTAAACAACAGTCTACACAAATCTGATAGGCTGGAAATATGTCAGTGTTGTACCATTTAAATGTGTCCGTATTGTACCATTTAAATGTGTCCGTGTTGTACCATTTAAATATATCCGTGTTGTACCATTTAAATATGTCCGTGTTGTACCATTTAAATGTGACCATGTTGTACCATTTAAATGTGACCATGTTGTACCATTTAAATGTGTCCGTTTTCTACCATTTAAATTTTTATCTGTGTTGTACCATTTAACTACAAACAAATTGTACAACATAATTATCTAGTTACTAATGATCATGATGTAATATTTAATAATATCCATATCTGTCAGGTGCGTGAGTGTACATTAAATCCGCAGTTTTCAACTTGTGTGTTGTGACACACTGAACTAAGGTCCACAGATGTTTGCAAGATTGTTATATAAAGGAACAAAAAATGCTTTTTCATTGTACCCCCCAGAGTATGGGACCTACAATAAAATAATTCAAATAGGTCTGTCATAAAAATAATTCTAAGAGGTCAGTCATAAAAATAATTCCCTTATATTAAAGCAGTAAATATTTTTTCAAAACTTAAATGCTGTGGACAAAACTGAGGTATTAGTTACAGTGCGACATAAGATTGAAAACTGCTGCATTACCCTACACACTTCACTTGAAGAATGTTTTCCATAAAATTCTCTAAGAATAATATAAAAGTATATAGTACAAATATTACAGGTAAAAATCTTAATTCTTCAATTAAAAAAATACTGGTACAAATTGAAATAAGGTCACTCACAACACCTGTCAACTTAATAAACCAAAGAATTTTTAGTATAAAAACCCCCCAATAAAATCAAAGTCTGGCAAGTATTTCCCCATCAAAAGGCCTAAACAGCCATTATAGTGATATTTAATGTTGGGTAAAACTGTTTGATAATTAGGATTGATTAATTCTAGTGCAGATTCTTCTACATACATAGGAACCAAATGATCAATATATTGATCATGGGGTCTTAATATATAGAAGAAGATGGAGGACTAGATCAAAAGTTACCTTTGCGTATTCTTAGGTATCCAATTAAAAACAAAAATCTGTAACCTCATATTGTTTTTATATAACATTATATTGGCAACTAATTTTTTAACAATCAGGAAGAACAATGTAAGTTTTGAAGGTTAGAAAAATAAGTGTCCACCGAAAGCCAATGTTAGTAGCTTTTCATCACAAAAACTAGTGGCCCCCTTGACCAGTAGTTGGTTTTGGATCTGTGATCATCATGACATGAGAACCATTTATAGTCCAAATTAATATTTCAACTAGCTTTTTTTCCCCTTCTCAATTTTATTCCATGATAGACAACCTGGCAATATCCTGTAGAAGAAAAATCTTATTAATGTTAACAATGTTTAAGATGAATGCAAAAGTGATAAAGTGAATGTAATATTTTTAATGGAAAAAATCATCATAGCTATATATTTTCACTGAGCAACTTGTCTTCTAATGATTTGACTACTCTTTTTGTGCTATTAGCAGACCTGCCAATCTTCCAAGAAAAACAATCAGTAGGGGGGGGGGGGGGGGGGGGGGGTGTGGGTGGGCGGTGCGGGAAGCGCCTGGGGAGAAGGGGGGGAATGGGGGCGTTGGTTAAAGATCTACAGACCAATGAACAAGACTTTTTTTAGTAAATAAAGAAACCTAAAGTTATCTCCAGTGTCTTTGAAGAGTCCACAGAACATGAGGAAAACATTACTGGAAATGTTGATATACAGAACAGAATATCCATTTTATTTACATAATTAGGCAACCATGATGCCATTATCTGCCCCTAACCATGGTGCCATTGTCTGCCCCATAAACCATGATGTCATTGTCTGCCCTACAACCATGGTGCCGTTGTCTACCCAATAAATCATGGTGCCATTGTCTGCCCTACAACCATGGTGCCGTTGTCTACCCAATAAACCATGGTGCCATTGTCTGCCCTACAACCATGGTGCCATTGTCTGCCCTACAACCATGGTGCCATTGTCTGCCCTACAACCATGGTGCAATTGTCTGCCCTACAACCAACGTGCAATTGCCTGGCCCACAACCATCCATGGTCTCCCCCACAACCATGGTACCATTGCCGGCCCCACATCCACGGTACCATTGTCTGCCCCACAACCACGGTGCCATTGTTCGCCCCACAACCACGGTGCCATTGTCTGCCCCACAACCATGGTGCCATTGTTCGCCCCACAACCACGGTGCCATTGTCCGCCCCACAACCATGGTGCCATCGTCTGCCCCACAACCATGATGTAGATTTGAATTTGACCGGGGGTCACTTAGAGCTTTGGGCAAACTGGCATGAAAAATTACAGTGTTGTCTAACACTACTTTGAGACATAGTAAAACCTTTTTAAAAAAAAGCTCAAATCCAGAAGTTGGAAGGCAGCAGTCAACTTGGCATGGGATTAAAAAGTTGCTCTCTAATCTTATGTTCCAAAATAACAAATAAAGTTAGGTGTCATGAAAAATAAATATACAGATATTCTGATGGCTAAAGGGCAATTCTGATGGCTGAATATGAAAACTGCCAGCATAAATATACTTCAACATGTCCGACACCTACCAAATTTTTTTGGATGGTTTCATCCCAGTCTTCTGCAGCAATTTTTGGTATGGCGCTTAACAAGACTTTACAGGCCCTTGTTGCGTTTTCTTTGAAAGTTTTCACAGCCAGCTCAACATGAACCTTCAAAGTAAGAGAGAGGAAAAACCTTGATGAAATGCAATCATGATGAACAGAAAACAAGTGAAAGTAAAAATTAAGCTAGTAAAACAACTAAATTTAATTTTTATTGCTTTCAAATCTTGTACATTTTTGGGTGTATTCATCTGTTACTGTTACAAGTTAAATCCACTTTCATTTAGAACCACAAAATTTATCGAAAAACTTGTATGTTAAAAAAAAAATATGCCTTCAAATGAAATCTTTTTCAAAAACATTCAAAAATAAGATGTTTGAGGTAGCACAGTTTGTGAAAGTATACCCCCCCCCCCCCCCCCCCCCCCCTTTTTAGCACATCTTTATAGCTGGTTGCAAGGGTCAAGGACTTCTAAGTATAGCATCAGAAACAGGTGGTCCTCTTAGCCATTCAACCAATATCCTAGGGGCTGTCCATAAATGATTTCATGTGTCTAGGGTGGGAGGGGGGAGTTACACATTTGTGACATCTTTTATGAAGGTGTCCTGTGACAATCTTTTATGAAGGTGTCCTGTGACAATCTTTTATGATGGTGTCCTGTGACAACCTTTTATGATGGTGTCCTGTGACAATCTTTTATGAAGGTGTGCTGTGACAAATTTATAATAGTGGGATGAGTGGGGTCTAAAATCTGCCAAAATAGCATGACCTGAGGGTCCCTTTGTCATACACCCTGCATCCTAGCTGTACACCCAACATAACCAAGCAATCTACATTAAACTGCTACACTTGACCATACACCCAACATAACCAAGCAATCTACATTAAACTGCTACACTTGACCATACACCCAGTATCCTACCCTTACACCCTACATCCTACCAATCCAACCTACATCTTACCAATCCAACCGACCATCTTACCAATCCAACCTACATCTTACCAATCCAAACTACATCTTACCAATCCAACCTACATCTTACCAATCCAACCTACATCTTACCAATCCAACCTACATCTTACCAATCCAACCTACATCTTACCAATCCAACCTACATCTTACCAATCCAAACTACATCTTACCAATCCAACCTACATCTTACCAATCCAACCTACATTCTACCCATACACCCTACCGAATAGCCATACACCCTACATCAGGGGTCTCAAACTCAAATTATCTGTGGGCCGCAGGAGGTAGAGTCTGAGTAAGACTGGGCCACATAGTATTCCACAAGAAAGCGATTGCAAATTTATTAAAGTACAAATGTTACAATCTGCTCAAACTTTATTAATAACAAATAAAATAATTAAGGGTTTCCAAGAACTTGGCCGTCACATTGTGTATCACTGTTAATGGCATTATATACTTAGTAAGAAAATAAACTTTCCGGTGATCTAAAGTAAGTATTCAGCTAATAAATGCTATGAAAATAATGAGCTTCTGCAACATGGCAGTAAGGTATTACTATTAACCTACAGCTTCATGGTCATCCCTCCAACTGTCATAATCTGTGACCAGTGCCAAGGATGCATACAACAGACCTGCCTCTTTGGCCAGCACAACCTGAGTGACATACAATGATGATTTGAAGTGAATATACAATCAATGGTATTACTGTCCTTGACATTGCTAGTTGGCTAAAGGAACAACAAAAATAATCTCCATGAAAACCACTCAATTTGTTAAGTGCAGTAACATCTCAGTATTTAGACTATGTTCAGGCTTGGGAATATAATATTTTGCTTAAGAGTCCAAAATCTCCTACTCCTCGAGCCTATTAAAACATAGTCTCAATACCCAGCCATTACTGTTACAATATCACAAATGGCTTTTACAGGTGTTAGTGATGGCTGTTTTTAAGGAATAAAATTTGTTTTTTTTAATCTTGTCATAATATGCTATCACTTCACTCTTGCCTGCCACCATCCCCATGTTGAGCGGTCGAGTTATTTCCCAAATGCAACACATTGATTCATTTGGCTTCTTCTGGGCTTCTAGCAACCTGAGCCATCCATAAATTATGTCATCGGGCGGAATTTGTGATGATGTGCGAAAAAAGTGTCAAATTTGTGTTACAATTTTGTGATGATGTGTGAATAAAGTGTCTAATTTGTGTTAAAATTTTGTGATGATGTGCGATGAAAGTGTTTAGTTTGTGTTACAATTTTGTGATGATGTGCGATCAAAGTGTCTAATTTGTGTTACAATTTTGTGATGATGTGCAATGAAAGAGCTAATTTGTTTTACAATTTTGTGATGATGTGCGATCAAAGTATCTAATTTTTGTTACAATTTTGTGATTATTTTGGGAGGGAGAAGGACAAAATTGACCCAGACAATGTGACATCCTTTATGGATGGCCCCTAACCCCATACTGGTTAAGTTATATGTTATTTTTGTGACAAAAGCTGCTCTGTTATATGAACAATGTCGAATTTCTTTATCTTCTTTCATTGGCTTTCAATTTAGATGATAAAACTATTGAACAGACCAAAATGGAATTTATTGAAATTAATTTTAAAAATCTATGTGATTTAGATAGAAATACTTGAGAAGATAACTCTGAAAAGGACTCTTGGTTACTAGGTCATCGAAAGTTGATGCTGACGGCGGGCAATGTTGACAACAACAAACTTTGGGAGAATCTACGGTTATTCAATTGTATGGAGATTATCACTGAAAGTAATGAAAGGTAACTTCATAATAAATATTTTAATTTAATTTATCATTTCCAAATTGAGTTAGGCCACCCGAGAGTTTCTATGAGAAAGAACAAGAAAATAAATATCCAGATTGGAGGAAATCTTATGGATGCCAACGAAAGAAATATCGTACCTCTGGAACTGTACTCCTGTTCACTACATCAGCTCTCCACCATAGTTACACGAATGCCAAAAAAAAGAAATATCGTACCTCTGGAACTGTACTCATGTTCCCTACATCAGCTCTCCACCATAGTTACATGAATGCCAAAAAAAGAATTATCGTACCTCTGGAACTGTACTCATGTTCCCTACATCAGCTCTCCACCATAGTTACATGAATGCCAAAAAAAGAAATATTGTACCTCTGGAACTGTGCTCATGTTCACTACATCAGCTCTCCACTGTCGCCACAACCTGCTCTCCGCACGAGTTGAGAATCTGGGACCTTCTATGGTTATCATTGTCCCTCTCTCATGGAACGGGAACCCCAGAGCTTTGATGCTTGTGGCTAACAGCTGGGGATCAGATTTAGATTTAAATAGTATTTTCATGATCAGTGTCATGTGACCTATCAGGACAATGTTAAGGAATATAATCTTTCAGGGTGTGGATTATCATAACATTATAACAGTTAAATTTTAAAAAATTTCTGAAATCTATAATTATATTTTATTCTTAACAGCAAGAGATGACTAACTGTGCGACATCCCAATAAGTTAGAGTTGAAATTATCTCCCTTAAGACATATTGTCTCCATCCTCCAATTAATTATCATCAAACCAACCCTATAATAACTGAAAAGAATTACAAATTCATTTTTAAAAGATACAGCTGATATTTGAAGAACTTCTAGATTTAGGCAAGTTTTGTACTTACAGCTCTGAGTTTGAGCCTATCGTCGCATGTTGTACTTACAGCACTAAGTTTGAGCCTAGTGTCCCATGTTGTACTTACAGCTCTGTTGTACTTACAGCTCTGAGTTTGAGCCTAGTGTCACTGAACCAATCAGAGCCTATTATTGTTGTTGACCCAAATAAAACTTAATGTTGTACTTACAGCTCGGAGCCTAGAGTCTGGTGCTATTGAACCGAACTAGAGCCTAGTGCTATTGACCCCAATTGGTGCCTATTGTTATTGACCCAAATCAGAACCTATAGCTGTACTTACAACTCTGAGCCTAGGGCAGAAGGGTTCATTCATAGGAACATGACAAACTCCTTGATGTGTAGGAGAGGAGCCATCATAGAATGTAGTTGGTCTCTTTGTGGTCCTGCAACAGTGGGACATGCTTTCATTATTTCAAAGATGCAATGTGATTTAATAACAAATGAACAGTTGAGTTAAACTTGTGAGAATATAATGGAGTCAACATATTGTAAATGGCTTATGCTAAGTTGTCACATTTACCATGTGCCCTTTGCCTACTAGCCCCTCACCCTCTTTACAGCTACCAAACCCCTCTGCCTACTCGCTTTCCTCAAACAAAAGATGTGGAGCTTTTTATATAGAAAGGGACCAAAAATGGAAATATGAGAATCATGGTAACAGCTTTGGAAATGTTAAGGTTTTATTTTCTCCATTTTTTTGTTTAAGATGACTATTGCTGTTTTCGTGTAGTGCCGTATGGTTGCTTTTCATTCAGTGATAGATTTCAGTTAGACCGCCTTTAAAGTCAGGGGGAAAACATTGGTAAATAATTATGTGTCTTTGGATTTTCTTGGAAACAGACAAATTAAGATTAATTAATGCATGAAAACCATAACTACCAATCAATTCATTTCTTATAAGAGCATGTGATGATTGCGCCACTGATGATGATGAGATGTGCACCCTAATAGATGAACTTTCACTTTGCACAGTGTGCTCTAGTAACTGAACTTACCTGTCCAAGAAGTCATCAATAAGAACAATTTCTCCGGGATGAACATTTTCTTGTAGTGACCCACAGGCCGTGGTTGCCACAATGTGAGTGCATCCTTCTTCTTTCAGGGCCCAAATGTTTGCTCTGTAGTTAACTAATGTTGGAGATATACTGTGCTTTCTGCCATGTCTGGTGAACAAAATTGGGAACTAGTCTTTTATATAAGTGCAGGAAATCATTACATATAAATATTTGTGCTATATGCTAATTTTTGTTTTAAAAAGACTAATAAATTTTTACTTCTTAGGTGTTTTAATCTCAGGTATTAAAAATCAGAGTTAAAAATTGTCTCAAATCTCTTGAAAAATAAATTTTCAAATTTCATTCACCGACCATTTTAAGACTCCTTCGAAAGAGGTCCAGTATGTTATTGTAAAGCATAATTTTGTTTACAACCTGAGAATGTCCATATTTATTCCGTAAATGACTACCAATGACCTATAATTTAATAATAGCTTTGAAAAGTGGAGTTTCAGATTTGTCTCCATTTTTTTAAATCCTCTATATTAACTTCACTTTTGTTTGTGGGTGGCTGGCAAAAACTTTAGATGCCTAATTGGCGTACTTCCTGTCATGCTAGCCAGCTGAAACTTGGCACATAGACTCATTGCTGATGACAAAACATTCTTTCAAATTTTCAGCCCCACCCCCAACCACAACCCTCAAAAATAATTTTTTTCTGTTTTTCAAGGGGAATATAAAATAAAAATTCCAGATAACTGCACTAAATGATATTATTTTTTTTTAAAAAATGCTGTTTTTCTAAAATTGTTGGTGAAATAAATCTGCGGTGTAAAAGCGGGTGGATCATTATGTCACAGATGAGATGGTATTATGAGGTAATGGCCGTACTTATGGTCATGTACCACGTGGTTTTGGTGGTGTTATGAATAGTACTGGGCCGTTCCTCTCTGTGATGGTTCACTAATCCAGGCGTTGAGAAGTACGACCAAGAGAACACAGAACACGAATGAATGAATAAACAACTCCTCATTAACAGTTATAAGTAAAAGATGTATTGATCACTATAATAAGATTGTAATGTCTCCTTTCTAACTGTTAACACTTCGCTATCTATCCCTAATTCTATCTCTGACTACGGCTAGTAATACTACGTCTGTTACAACAGAACGACCGTCCACGAATCTCTCCCTCTCCTTATGCCACGAAGAGTTCTATGTTATATACCATTCTCTACCTCCCTAGGTGGTCCAGGAATGCTGGCAATTAACCCATCTATACCCCCCTCATTTCCGGTCAATTAGGAACTTCCGTCGTCAACCCCAAAGTTGTCACACGAAGTCTGGGAAATCCGAGACATAATGTTATGGAAAGAAGCATCCCCTTAATCTAAAAGATACGAGAATGTATTAGCCTTACCCCCATGCGCCCAACAGTTCCCTCCCTAAGATCACAGCAATTTCCGTTCATCCCATAAGTTATCTGAAGAACAATGGAGCTCTGTTGTTAACCCCCGACCCAGTCATTTGTGACACATTAGAATATTAATATAGTTCAGTGACGTGAAAAAAAATGTGCGGTTGCGAGCGGGGTGTGTGCGTACTAATTGGGATTCTTGTAGTGTGTTACTTGTATGCATGTTTTTAAAAATTTTTAAACCCCACCCCCATTGCTCCATTTTAAATTTTATACAGGAATTTATACGAAAAACTTTGTTTTAAGGGGTTGCTAAGATACAGATTTTTTTTAAAGAAAATTATTTTTAGACACAAAATGAGAAGAAAATACCTGGCCAGAAGGACACAGTCCACTCCTTGAATTGTTCCAGTAACTAGGCTATCAGATGGCTGAATAGTAGATGGAATGAAATAATATATTTTCAATACAGTTTAAATGAGATTATTGTGTTTGCAAAATTTTTAAAAAAAACAACGAAATAATAGTTTTAAAATATCAAACAAAAAGGAAATGAATACAAAAATTATTTTACAAAAAATATTATTAAAAGCATGACTTGATTACAAGCCCTTGCAATAAGCAGCTTCTTCATGGCTACACGAGAAAATGATAGTTATAGAATTAACTGTGATGTTATTAACTTCAATATTTTTCTGCAAATTGCAACCCATGAGTGTACATATAATTTTTTATCTACACTGGAGGCATTAAAAATCTGGCTATCAGATGGCTAAATAGCAGATGGAATAAAATAATATATTTTCAATACAGCTTCTTCATATCTACAGGAACACCACAAAACCTGATTATGACATTTGTTTTTAAAAAATTTAAAGGGACAAATTATTGATCCACTATTTCATGAATGAAAGCCATAATGCAAATGACCAACAATTACAGTGGGCGGGCTGAGAACAGTGGATCAGTTTTTCTTCATGGTTGAACAATTTCAATGACAGCTGAAATAATGGTTAACTGCAAATGGTCAGGACTGTTTAGCACAGTCAGATATTACCAGTATTTGAAAGGGTTTCTTATATTTAATGCAATTTATAACTTTTTATTAATTCCTCTACTAAAACACTCTTTAATAAAGTCACATAGAAAATCTTCAGACCTCCTTTTACCCAAAGGGATGTCAAAGGTAAATGATAATCAATGCAAGCACTGAAAATGAGCCAATGTCCAAATATCAGACACCCACCTTTCCAAAGGGCGTTTTCACAACCTTCTCCTCTCTGTTTTCTAAAAGGTCAGCATTATCTAACCCTGAACCACCAATGATGCCAACCTAGATGAAAACAAACAAGGCAGGAGAATTAACGAGAGATCTCATTTTGAGTAATGAATACTCATCAAGGTAAATTAGTCAAGTAAAGTAATGTCTATCCAACATAATTGTTTTGGAGTAACAAAGTGAAAGTACATCTATTTGAGTGCACATAAAGGGAAATTACATCTATTGGAGAGCACAAAAACAAAGTGAAAGAATATTTACTGCAGTACACAGAGACAAAGTGAAAGTATACTATAGATATGTATGCAAACAAAGTGAAATTATACCAATGGAGTGCATGCAGACAATTACAAAGTATACTATTAAAGTATACTATTTACACTAGAATATCTGTCAATGAGGCTGAGAAAATACTAAAATAAGCCAAGTATAATCTCATTGGAACATTTGTAAAACTTTGTTTACCAGAGGCACTGTAATGTCTGTAACAAGTTAATAAAAGAAATAGTTGGTCTATCAACATTTTTCAGCCAGCTGCTGAATAGCTTAATTTCATATATTCATAATATGCCATGGGTGCCATGGCCATAATATGCAACAGTGTTAGTAAGCTGTAACATACCTTTATAGCAGACATAGTTACTGGTTACACTCAAGACTTCCTGTAGAAGAGCAGGTGCTTGGAAATTATAGTCCTGAAAAAAAAATTTTTGCTCTTAACCAGAACTTGACAAACATTTTTTGTTGGTAAATAACAAGCTTAAAAACTCAAGTCAAAAGTAAAAGACACATTTTTTGTTGGTAAATAACAAGCTTAAAAACTCAAGTCAAAAGTAAAAGACACATTTTTTGTTGGTAAATAACAAGCTTAAAAACTCAAGTCAAAAGTAAAAGACACATTTTTTGTTGGTAAATAACAAGTTAAAAAACTCAAGTCAAAAGTAAAAGACACATTTTTTGTTGGTAAATAACAAGCTTAAAGACAAGTCAAAAGTAAAAGACACATTTTTTGTTGGTAAATAACAAGCTTAAAAACTCAAGTCAAAAGTAAAAGACACATTTTTTGTCATTTGAATAAACGTGGCTTAGTAATTTTTCTCTAAAAACATAAGATGATGATAAGTTAGTCTAACATTATAATGTATATAGTCTATACATACAATCTATTAAACTTTTGAAATAAGACAATGCTCACGTCCCACGTATATATTTATATAATAATATTACATAATATTACGTAGGCCACGGCTGAACAGAGACTGTGTAACACTACATAGATTTACCACTTCGCTTGTTACTATTAATATATTATATTCCTCAAAGGGTTGCCTCCAGAAGGTTACACTCAATAACACATGTTTTTAATACAATATTATAAGCAGGCCTGTACTACCGTATATAATATGACAATCAACAAAGCGATGAGAGCTCTGAAAATGCAACACTCAGGTTATAGTATAGATAGTTATATTAACGATCTTCGAATGCATTCACGCAAAGTTGATTATAGTGCATCATTGGCATCGGCCCTGAAAAGTCTATGGCTATGGTAGTAGCTAACTACTAGGCACAATGTTTGAAATGACAAATTCTAACCTAAGGCTGTCGTAATCAACCAGCTAGCAAAAATTAATATAGGCCACTCTGTGTACACGACATTCTGGCCTGCCAGCAGACGTGACCTGTTAGTCTGAGGGAGCAGGCCTACACATGTGACCTACATCAGACACGAGAAGAGAATGATATTCAGAAAAACAAATGCAGTAGAGTAGAGGCTGCGTGTTTTGTTGTTTTTTTCCAAGGCACACCACTAATCTTAATGGTTGAGACTAGTTGTGTAGGCGAAGCACTGTTTCCCTACCGCATGGTTTCCAGCATGGCGACATACTATGAGCAAGACATTTGGCATATTATTGTATTGGCGTTGGGGACGACTTAAGCCACTTTAGGTGCAGAGGCTTACATTACTAAACAATCTACTCTTCGTGAGTGTCCTGGGAGAAATATTATAAGAGCTTTAAACTGTGACCTCTGGTTGATAAAGAACAAAATGTATCGAACAGAGCAGTGGTTCTCATTTCTGTGTGGAGAGTCTTTTTAAAAAATGAAAAATGCGCCTATCGTCGTTGAATGATTGATAGTAGGCTACATGTGTAAAATTCATACTTTCAATTGAACAAGTATTCAGAGTTGTGACAAGATTTGTTAAGTCGGGTTCTTTAAAAAAAACAAAAAAAAAAAAACAAAAACAAAATTAAGCCATCTCTTAGTAGCAAAAGTTGACAGCAGTGAAGCTTTATAACGATAGTTTCACTCATTGTGTTGCAGATTGTCAAGTATAAATAACCCCCAAAATGTCCGGGGACCAGACGCCCTTTTCTAAACGCCCCTTATTAACGTCCACAAGTTACGTCATGTGAGTAGGCCAGATTTAAAAAAAAAAATTAAATTGTTATATACTGTGGCGCCTCCGTTAAAAAGAGAAGTCCGCTGGGACGAGCATATTAACAATGTGTGCAACCAGGCAAACAAGACCATGATGTTCTTAACGCGTAATCTAAAGACCAGGAACTCCAGTGTGAAAGAAAGACTCTATAAAGCTTCTGTTCGGCCGCTTTTAGATTATGCATCTTCAGTCTGGACCCATTTACCCAAAAGAGCATCGACATCTAGGAGGCGGTCCAGCGACGGGCGGCACGCTTTGTCCTAAACCACTACAGGAATACCTCTAGTGTTGACAGCATGCTAGAAACACTAGGCTGGTCACCATTGGAGGAACGACGACGACAATCCAGGCTCTCCATGATGTACAAGATAAATAATGGGCTGGTCCACTGTTCCAGTATTAAACAGAAACTCGTCCCTCTCCCCCATAGACAGCGACGAGGCCATGACAGGAAATTCAGGCTCATACCAGCAAGAAGCCAGTATAGGAGCTGCTCATTCCTGCCAAAGACAATCAGGTACTGGAACAAGCTTCCAAAAAGAACAGTTGAGGCGACAACACTAGACACATTTGCGTCTGTTGCCTCAAGCCTTCCAACCTCCAGTGCATGATAATGATACCCTCACTAAATAGCCCTTGCAACCAGTGAAATATCCTCATCAACACCAGGCACAGAAACATTGCAAATCCCGTCTGCATGCATATGAGCCAGAATGATCAAAAATTAATTGCTCGTGGGCCCTTATATATATTTAAGAAGAAAACAACTCAACAAGCCGGCACAAGTTTTGTCCCCCACCCCACCCTAAAAAAAACCCAACACCTGAAATGACGTTTGTGCCTACTTCCTACCTGTCATAAGCTGCGTTGGGGTAATAACACAACAATAACAATTAGATTGGATGTAAGAAAGAATAACACGACAATAACAATTAGATTGCATGTAAGAAAGAATAACACGACAATAACAATTAGATTGCATGTAAGAAAGAATAACACGACAATAACAATAAGATTGGATGTAAGAAAGAATAACACGACAATAACAATTAGATTGGATGTAAGAAAGAATAACACGACAATAACAATTAGATTGGATGTAAGAAAGAATAACACGACAATAACAATTAGATTGGATGTAAGAAAGAACACAAACATTATGAAATGAGAACGAGCTATCGTTCAGAGCAGAGCTAGGCCTAGAATTGAGCGCGTCCTCCTCCTCCATCTTGAGTTGCCATTTTAGCACAACCGTTGGCGGATTTTTTTTTCTTTTTGTACGAAACAAATGGGGGAGGGGGGCGATAGACATGTAAATATAATATGAAAATCAAAGCACGCTGACCCTCACTTTCCTGTCTATCTCTCTGAACAGTTGCTTCCTTACATCCCCACAAGACAACTACGTTCTTCCATTGACAGTAGAACCCTCTCAATCCCAAGAACTAAAACTAAGACCATCGGTGAACGCTCCTTCTACTTCAATGCGTCCACGTTCTGGACCCAACTCCCCTTCCACATCCGTCATTGTGAAACCTCGTCCACTTTCAAAATGTCCCTTATAACCCACCTGTTTAGGTCCGCCTATGACCTGTGATGCACCCTTCTTGCCTTGCCCCATTTTCTGTCTCGGGTTGATCCTGTGGTGTAGGCCAAGACGTGCCAAAGTGTACTCGTTTTATAGCCATTTTAATGTTTAAGCCACTGTTTCTATAGTCATTTTTCACATTGTAGTTACTATTCTAGTGTCTCTGACATTTCTTTTTTATTTTACTTAAGCAGTTTAAATAGTTGACATATTTTTAATTAATTGTAAGGCGCTTAGAGCTGTAAGGTAAGCTCTATACAAAAATGCTAAATAAATAATAAATAAATAAATAAATAATGAAGGTACGGCTAAATAGTAATAAAAACCAATACATTACACATCATATGCTATCAGTATATATAAACTCAAGCAACTGTTTACTGTCTATGCTAGTCTATAGGATGGTTTAATTTGTCCCCCTACTAAACTGCCTTTTGGTCTCGCTGCCAACTCTCTTCTTCTTCTTCTTCTTCTATATTTTGAGGGCCCACAATCAATGAATTGATCATTCTGAAACCTCTATTTTGGTCTAATTGTCTCGCTGTCAACTGTCTAGTTTTGTCAAATGATCCCATTGTCAACTGTCTAGTTTGGTCGAATGGCCCCGTTGCCAACTGTCTAGTTTGGTCTAATCATTGCCAACTGTCTAGTTTCGTCATATAGTCCCTTTGCCAACTGCCTAGTTTGGTCTTATGGTCCATTTACGTTTGGTCTAATAGTCCCATTGCCATCTGTCTAGTTTGGTCAAATGGTAACAACACAACCTGTAGCCACATTGATGATGATAAATAGTCAAACTCCCGTGAAACCTTTCAACAAAACAAACCCTTGGAATTGGAACCAAACCAAAAATGGCGCCAGTGCCATAGAGAATATAAGTCTAGTGCCGCCGGGGAAGGTCGAGAATTTTTCTTGCCCCTCTCCAAGAAAAGGGTTCTGCAGTATTCCGAAAATGCCGCCCCTCCTTATAAAGAAAAAAACTGCCCCCAGGGTGGACTGCCCCCTCCACACCTCCCTACCTACGCCACAGAGTAGCACTATTTCCAGGGATGCATCTTCAATTACAGGTTCAACCAGAATGATGATCAAGCACACAAATTTGAAAAAAAATGTTTGCATGCAGTTCCTCTGCATTTACCTGTTCTTTTGGGTTTGACAAGTCTGTTATGTTGATCCAAACGTAGAACATGCTACACATGTCAATAGTGAATCGTCTTGCTTTCCCCGCACGTTGGCGAAATTCGCCCCCCCCCCCACCTTTTTCCCCCACAAGGGTTCAACCCTCAGTCTTGTAACTTGTTATGTTGATCCAAACGTAGAACATGCTACACATGTCAATAGTGAATCGTCTTGCTTTCACTGCACGTTGGCGAAATTCGCCCCCCCCCCACCTTTTTCCCCCACAAGGGTTCAACCCTCAGTCTTGTAACAAATCTGATAACACCTTGTTTCATCTTGATTGGTGAAGCAAAATCTCTACGTCATACACAGTTCATGACGTAATTCGGCGCCAGAGCGGCATAGCTGAGAATTAGAATCCAAGAGGGCAGCAAGATTTTGCTAGATAGCAACAGGGACCCTATCTCCCGGCATTGCAGCCTGGTCCCGGAGACACTAGCGCACCCGTTAACCGAATGTCCCTCACTAGACTAGATGTCCCAGGGGAAACCAGGGCGGTTGGAGAGCCCTACGTGAGGAAAATGTATGGCTCAGCTCAGCAGTTGGAGCTGGTAGCCAATGTACTAGCCGGGGTCATAAGAGATTAATCTCAGACCTTCACCAGAATATGTGTGTTAGTATTAGTATATCCCCGCAGAACACTACACGAGACTACACCGGTTGCGGAGCTCTGGACTCTAACCTAGAGTCTAGGCACTCTAATTGTCTATAGTGGAGTTAAGTCTCAGTTTTCTGAGTTTAGGCATTCAAAATGCCGCATTCTAATAGTGTAGTTGTGTACCTGTAGTCTTTAGCCTTAGCACCGAATTACGAGTGAAAGTCAAAACAAATAAGTATAGTCTAAAATTAATAGAAAACTATATAGGCTAGTCTACCAGGTCTACCTTGACCTTTTTATTTTTTTTTACTTATTAAAATTTAAAAGGAAGTTATTTTATCATTTTATGATATGGAATATAAAAATAATTATAAAAAAAAAATGTATCTTACTTTATTTTAACTTAGTTCACTAAAGACAAGTAAAGAATAGATTTTCGAAGTCGACTTATAATCCGGTATTTTATACAGCAAAAAAAACAACAAACAACAACAAAAAAACGAACAAATAAAATAGAAACATACAGTAACGTGTTTCTACTTTCGTTTTCGGCTCCTCGTTTTCTAATGCGTTAACAAACGTTGCACTAAATGTGTCAACACACTCACACAGTGACCCAGTAAAGTAATGACACGCCCAAATAACTTTCTATTTTATCGATACTAGAATCGATCATTTACCAATTAAATCCCTTTTAATTTTCCTAAGTCAAAATTATGAGCAAGTATATTTACTAAAATATCATGAGAAATGTTATCTTTATATTTGAAAATGAATTTATTTAGTATGAATGTAAAGTTGTACCGCATTATAAGATAATAAAAATGAGTACTTAAATTACAAATGATTAGAATCCGGATGTCAATTTGTATTGTCACGTGACAAATCATGGCGGGATCCATCCATGTATTGCTTCCTGTTTAGCTATTAATGTTTTGTGTAACCTGCAAATTGCACTGGAGTGTAAAAATAATTGTTCACAAGGTATATATT